GCTATAAATCTCGATAATCCCCCTGAACACTATGATTTTACAACCCTACATGATTCTGTTTATGTTCCACTTTCGTTACTTTATCAGAGGATATGACCTCAGCCATTTGTAGTTGGTGGTGCTTTTTGAGATCTTCATTGCTGTTGCTATGCCCGGTTTCACCAAGCTAATCGATGTCTTTAAAATGCATGTGCCCCCGCAAGTGTAGGATGTAAACAAACAACTACAGAACCTCAGCAGGCATTCTCATATTTGTTTGCAGCACTGTGTTGGGGAGTGTTTCTATTTTTGTAGAGTTTGACTGTGCAGGAACATAAGTATGAGGGACAGGGAGCGCAGAGAGGGAGAATGCAATTACCAGTACATAAGGGCTGTCCACTCCAAAAACGATAACTATAATTATAACTGGTAACATAATGATGTCAGAATCCACACTGATGAATAGTAACACAACAGTGGTGCCAACTGAACTGCACTGCATCTGTCTTTTTCAGAAACTGTCACCTAGCAACGTTAAAATTGTGTATAGAAAACATAAAGGGCCTACTTATGAACATTCACCTGAGGAACATGCTAGAGCTGTTTACACAATAATCACAAAAAGAAGATAATAATCATCAATCCTTTAATTTCGTTTTCTAGGTCAGAAATGGAAGGCATGGCACCCTGTAAATGTGTTTGGATTTGTTTTGGCTGTCAGTGTTTCCAGCATTGATCAAATTACTCTAACAGTGACAAACAAAGAGACCTTTTGCGAATGTCATTATACTATAAGCTACTGTAGGGCTGCTCGATTATGGCAAAAATCATAATCTCGATTATTTGGGTCAATAATTGATATCACGATTATTAAAAACAATTATCCATTTACAATTTATTGGAGAAAAAAAATGTGAACAGTATGTTTTTAACAGTTGATTACCCTGAACCTTAAGTATAATTCAACTGAAAAACCCAAAAATAAAAAATGATTTTTAAAAAAAAATAAAGAAAAAAGTAATAATAATAATAAAATAATAATCGTTTTATTTCGATTACGTTGTTTTCGTAATCGTTGCAAGCCATAATCGCGATTAAAATACGATTAATTGAGCAGCCCTACTATAAACTGCCATTGTCTTGGGTCGGAACTATTTTAAATAACAATATAATTAGCGTTATCTTCATATGAAAGGTCCTTTAAAAGGCTCAAGCTGAATGCTTGAAAGCAGTGTATGGGTATTAAAGAGTCCTGGAAACAGCAGTCTAGGGATTTTAGACAGAGGGTTTTTAGACGCCTTCCGACACCATATACAGTACTTCAAACCCTCCGTATAAGGTAACATATCCCCAGTCTTATTTAGCAGAGCTAAAGTGTTCGTACCAATGTCCCTTCTCCAATCCTCGACCCTTAAGTACGTGACCCAGAAATCGAACAAGACAAACGGTCTGTGTGGGGACATTCAAAATTCATTAATGCACATGGAGGAGTCAAGGAGAATGAAGAGAGGAAACAGAAGAAAGAAGGCTTCCACAAAAGCAAGGATGCACAGGTGCAGTCTATGAGGAAGTGTTATTGCTACATAAATAGAAATGTCATGAGCCATAATAGGAAAAGAGCAAAATGTGGTTTCTGACATTTCCTTTAAAAGTATTATCAGACGTATTCCTTGAGGTTACACTTCATAATTAAAAGCAGAATTAATTGTATATATTTTGTTGAAAATATACATATAGAACTAAATACGATACTATACTATGAGGGATGTCTTACGCATTAAGCCCAGTGACAAGTGATGCAGTAGTAACGCTACAATTTAAGGACGTCGGTTAACCATGATGCTCCAGTGAACGAGGATGTCCAATTTCCCAACCGAGGACTCCTGCGTCATTCCATCTTTCCCTGGCGTCTTACAAGTGTGGAGCAAGGAAGATATGCAAGCAATGGAAATAAATATGCAAATTGAGGTAATTGGGTGAATGTATGCTTAACTTCTTTAGCCCCACTGATATGCGTACCAGCTCTGTCACCCTGTCAGTAATGGAGACAAGGTGCACAGTAACAGTGATCGGAGATGTGATGCAGGAGCGAAGAAACTCACTGGAACTGTCGACAGTTGTACGAGGAAGATATCAACTACATCCTGTCATGTGCAATCAACAGCTCTCGTCAGTCACCTTGCTGTGTGCTTTATAATATATCTGTATTTTTATGATCAGTATTTTTAATATTGCACTTCACTTCAACACTGACATATTATAAAGGGGCATTGAAAACAGTTGCCCATTTATTGCACTACAGACAACATCACATTGGAAGATACTCGCTTTATACGTCCAACTCAGACTGCTGAGGCTGATTACAGAAACCCGTAACTCTTCTTAAAAAAAATGAAATTTGAGTGGCGTATGACTAGCAATATTTCATATTTGTTTAGTAGTAGGAATGTATTGTTTGTTTTCATTCTTTTCATAGGAAAACACACAGAATATCACCTTAAAAAAGATATATAACCTATCCTTGACCAACTAGGGCAGCTCTTCATGTTTTGTTCATGAGGAATGGCTCTGGTACTGCTGCTGCAGTGGACCACTTCACAGGTAATTTCTAGACTTCGTGAGTGGTTTGTTAATGGTGTGTGGGGGGGTGTAAAAAATGCACAGTGTGCCCACTTCTCCAGTTACCACCACATGGGTTAGTACAGCATCCCTGCAGGAGCGGGTTCTTTCATCTCTGCAGGACCAGACTGTACTCACACTGAGTCTCAGTGATTAAAAGCTCTTACTTCAGATTGTCAGACCTCAGAGCTGGCCTTTACACCGAGAGCCGGTTCATTTGTCAGTAAACAAAATGCAAAACGAATTGATTGCTAACAGCACAGGACTGATAGGGGAGCTGTGAAGCACTGTTGCTATTGAATCCATATTAATATAATGGATTTAGCTCTTTGTTGTTGAACTGATTGTGATTGTTTCTTTGCTGCCATTCAATTTAAAGCCACATTGTTTTTATCACCTGCTGTCTTGTGACATACATAGGGAAGCTTATGTAGCAAACAAATAAATGTATAAATGATATAGCTTAAATATATAAATAAGGTAAACCATTGAAGTGTATGATATGTCGATAGGTAACAGCACTACTCATCTGTCACGCATAGCTTTGAAACCATAATAGAGATTGACAAAAAGCCTAGAAAAACAATTTACTCCTGACAACTGGGAACAAATTTGCTTCCCCTGTTATCACATTAAGAAATGACTGGTCTGCATAAATCTGATTTATGATCTTAAGGGGAAACAATTGTGAGTACTGTATGTATGAGAAATACTGTGCTGTTAATCCTCTGGGTGATATGTCATTCAGTTAGTGTCAATAAATCACACCAGAGACTGTGATACATGAATCTAATAAACGTTCTCGTTTTGGAGAAAGTTATTGATTTGGATCTGACGTTTTTTGAGGACTAATATGTAAACCTGCTAACAAATGATCATCCTCCTGCTGGTGCTGTTTGCTTCAAACATATTTCTGCTGCTTAGTTCAGGCACAGCATCTGTCTATGTTATTGTTCCTTATGATGAACACAATAACAAAGCAGATATAGACAGTGTTTGATGTACAGGAGAGGATTATTCTCTCAGAAAGGTTCAAGAAAAGTCCAAAATAAAGAACAGCAGTTTTCAGGATCTTTGACAGCACTGAGGAATTGAGCTTAACCTTGAACAGAAAATACATTCAGTATATTGAGCATGGAAGAATATGTTCCCATATTATTTTTTCCTGTGCCTAATTTACCAATTTATATTTGAGGAAAAGGATTCAGAAAAGAAGAGAGAGCAAAGGGAAGCTGAGCACGCACACACATCTGTGCTCAATCTTTTTGTATCTTGTAAGGTCTTGTTTAAAGGATTTTTATGGCAGCCTTCAACAGCTGTGAAAAAGATTTGGACCTATTTGCTTGCAACAATATTATTTCAAACGATGTTTCAAGAGAGCCGAACACAGACATGTTTCGAGCTCAGCGCTCCTCCTCAGGCATCTGCGAGCACAGAGCAGGAGCACAGAGCAGGAGCACTGAGCTCGAAATACATCGCATATCTGCATTGTTAGATCTTAGCCACCATTATGTTTATTTGCTGCTCACTTAGTGCTTTCGTTTATTCAGGCTCATATAAAGCTTCAATGACTAAATGTTCACCCTTTGCAAGCATGGAGCCTCCAATCTTTTCCCTTTTAGATTATACTGTGAACTACTAAGATGTTTTCACAGGAGTTGGTTGACCGAGGCATTGCCTGAATGCCCGTAGATGAGAAAAAAAACGTGTTGTTAGATGGCCAGAAACACATCTGTTATGGGAAGCCCATTTAGCTTTTTTTCTGCTGGATATGCTGTGCACAAACAGGCAATAACACTGTGTCCTGTGGGTCCTGTCCCAGCTTTGTTCACACCACAGTGCAACTGCATTTTGCCAAGCACTTTTCTTTTTATAAAAAATAATGTATTAAACCATGTGTGTCCAATTGAGATGATAAATATAATCTCCAAGGGAGCCTTGTACTAATTTCTATCAAGAAAATAGATATTACTTACAATTAGGCTATAAAATCGCACCTCAAAGATGAATAAAAGTCTTTATGTTTGATAGGTCTTCAGAGATGACATAATTTGTAATCCATCTTTCCTTTCATACCCTGTAGTAATAAACACACACTAACACAACCCCCTGCAGTGTTAATGTGTTGATTTATAGTGGGTCTCAGCACAGTTGAAGTGAACAATTTTCCTGTACCACACTTCGATAAATGAAACCAGGATTATTTTCCTTTTAGTTTTACTCTTTCTGCCCCTAGAACTCAAACATTACTTCATATAGCTTTAAATAGAAGCTACAATTCATCCACCGTATCCACCATTATCATCATTCAGTGACTCATAAATATGATTACACATTTGTGAATTTGTGTGTGTGGCATGTGTGTGTATCTGTTGCAGTGTGTGTTTGTGTGTGTATTGTACCATGCGACTGGTCCTCCATGTGTCCCATAGTTTCGATCTGCTCGACCAGGTCATTTGAGTTCCACTGACTCATGCCCAGCAGAATGGCGCTTTTCCCCTCCATAACATCTGCTGGGGCACACATAGACACACCCACACAAAGTACACACACACATACACACAGAGACACACACACCCACACACACACAAGGAGTTAGACATTGCAGCATAAGACAGAGACACATTCCTCTCTGCATATTAATAATATGGAAACTTATTGTTCTTGAAGCTCCAACTGATCAAAGTTAATCAGGTGATTTTTTTTGCATGAATACATCTCTTTTTAGGTGCCTGACACCCCATAATTAGCTTTAAAACCTGTGTAGCAGAACATTTACACCTTGAACCCGACCAGTTGTGATTTACTTACAAAAACATCCTCCTCCCTAAAAAAAAGAAAGCTTAATGTGCAGCAAGTAAACAATACAAGAAAACACAACAACAACATGGGAGACAGCAGCGTCTGGTAAACATTCACATGGCTTGTCATGGCTGAACACAAATGGAATAGCTACTGTGCTGCCTTTGCCAAAGATAATATGTAAATGTGTCCAGAATGATGTTGACACAGATTAATTACACCCTAAAGACTTTGGTACAACATGTTTATCAAGCAGGCCCAACAGATTTATATCTGTGTTTATCTACCCTCCACTGGAAGCAGTGTTACATCTTCAGCCTTCTTTTGTATTAGCTAATACAAATTCAAAGTCATACTTGCCACACCATGTGCTGCATTATAATGAAATGAAACCTGCAGTGTTCATGTCCACGTTACATGAGCTAAAAATATTTGTATACCCTGGACCTTTGGAGGACACATTAATAATGTTATTACCATGTTGCTATTAACCGTGGATATAACTTCCTCAAATCCTCATTCATTTGATAGCAGAGCATGAGATACAAACAAAACAAGGACAAGCCAGGGTTTAGAAATTAGTTTGTTACAGATGTTTTCTTTGAATGGAGCTTATTTACTGCATTTATGAGCAAAATAACATCACATTCCTAGTGCTAAACTGAAGCCAGATTGTGGAAAGTTTAAATGTAGATCATATTTGGCTACTTATAGATCATAACCATTCAAACCAGCTCAATTGTAAAAGATGTAACCCAACTCAAATGCTCATATATCACATCAAGATTTCATTATTCATAGTTTTTAAGTGTAAATGACTGCGGGGAGCTCAAATGTGTTGTCACTGGAGGACCCTGCACATCTTTACCACTTAGTCTCTCCCGCACAGCTAGCAATACAATGATCTTTTAGTACATAAAATACAGATGTCAAAACGTCAGCAGCTGGCTACGGCCATTCTTGCTCATCAACACATTGCTCCATAGTGCTGCTAACAGTCAAAACATCCACAGGATATCTTTAAGGAAGGTTTATTATGGTTATTGTATACCACCATCAGGATTTTTAATTGCTTTCTCTAAATAGGGAAACATTGCTCTAAAAAGGGTAGGGACAACAAGCAAGAATAGTCATAACAGGTCGTAAACAAACCCCAGGTTAGTCAACGTTTCTTGTAAGAGAAAATCGAAGTGAACAGTGTTGTTTTTGTGTTATTTATATCGCACAATTAAGCCTGAGCAGAGGTCGAAACAGCCAGAATAACTTAAAACATGGACTCCCACACATGGTGAATGACGTGCTCTGTTGTAGTGGAGAATATCAAACTAAAAGAGTGGTTCAACATGACCAAAAGTGGTATACTCTCGTCTGAGACTGCCATTCAGTCTGAGACAGGGTGAGTCATGCAGGGAGAAAACCCTCTACCTCTACCTGACACGACTTCTCTCCTCTCTCAAACGTTCGTGCCTGGCAGCTCTGAAAGACACTCTGGGAGTCTACACCGCCTGTCCATTTGGATCACACAGCGGTCTGTCTTACGGTCACAGTTTGTCTTTTCCTATCTGCTCTGTCTCCCTCCACCTTTGACGCACTTTCTTCCCTCTTTCCAGATGTAACTCTAGCTGTAATTAATGATGAAGGTACAGAGCGCACACACATGATTCAAACACACACAGAAAAACACAAAGAAAATGGAGAGGAGAGAGGAAGAGACACACACACAGACAGACTTGGATAGGAGCAAAGCGTCGCACGGTGTAAGTAAGCCTCTGTTTGGACAGGAGGAGAATTTAAAGCAGGCTTTACACCCTCTAAATGCAGGTTACTGAGTCATCTCCTCGAGGGGTGAACCTCGCAGATACAACATAAGCTCTTGGAGGAGCAAAATGTGTTTGAGCCGAATGAAAAAAAAGAGCCAGGTGCAACAAAAACAAATGAAATGCACAAATAATCCTGATAATGAGGCCAGGAACAATAACGCCTGGTGTGTTTGGAATACATGCAAAATCAAATTTGAACAACAGAAGAAAAAAGACAAGTGAGATCTGCCTGCAGCCAGAAACCCAGAGGGAGAGAAAAAAGAGATTTAGAAACATCCTTCAACCTGTCAGCTCATGGTGAGTAAGTGTCAAGTGGAATAGAGAGAAATGGATGCTGCGATTTTTGAACAATGAGAAAATGACGTCAGGTGATCTCTATCACTTACAATTGTTTTTGGCACTGCATTATCTGTTTCTTGATCTTACCATCCTGCATTAGTTGGAATTAGCATTGGAATTACTAACACACAACCTCTGGCATTATTTGTAGGCTCCTTTAACTCCCGCTGCACTATAAAAAGATTGCTTAGGGAATGGGGATTATCCTCTAAAATGGCATAAACAGTCTGTCAGGTGGCTAGCAAAGATGGATGGCCTTAAAAACACCATGACTACAGCTCATAAGCATATATCATAATAATACGTGTGTAATCTGAAAATTGGATAAAATAATAGGGAAGATAATTTACACAAGACATTGTGTGGAACTTGTACATGTTGTTGAGATGTAATTATTGTTTACTGTACACACACTGAAAATACAAAACCTTTAACTCATTCTTTGTATGTCTTTTGTTTGTATGGTGCAAGAAGCCTTTTATATGAGTTCAAAATGGAGTATATCTCCTTCATACATCTTGTCTTCCTCGAGCTGTCACATGGGCCACTTGGCAACACATTTAATCAAAAGCTATTGTGTATCCCACTGTTACAGATTTGTTTTTATAGCCTGCTCCTTAAAACAGTAGCTCTTCATGTACAGTATGTTTATTTGATACAGCTTATTTTAAGTGGAAATTCTGCATATGGCCTGAATATTTTCACATACTGTAGGTGGCCTGTTTTCTTTGTATTATTTTAATAGAAAGATCATGGTTATTTGAACACACTTTCTATACGTGTTATTTCTTTGTCTTATCCTTGCTTATCGTTGTGCAGCCAATATATACGAAGCAGGTTTGTTTGTGAAGCAGTTTCAAACCCTGCAGCAACTGATTTTCCCCATAAACACATCTTCAATGGGAGAGGAAGGAGTAATCAGTGAAATGGCCACCTGCAGGGACCGCTTCACAATGAGAAATGCATTGGTCCGTGGGTCAAATCCACTCAAGCTGATGTTGAGTGTTAGCAACACGCAATTTACGTACTGTTCCAACACCAAACTGTGCATATTCCCAAATAGCTTATACAGTATGTGTTACTCCTTATTTAATTTCCTCTTTAATCTTGTAGGACATGGAATACCACCAAAGTGTTAAAGATGAATAATGCTGGTTAAAACACTCCCAAAATCTGAAACCCAGCCAAAATGTAATCAACAACCAGAGAGGTTTACTGGTAGACTACATACAAATGATACATTCAGAAATGTTAAACAACATGCAAACAAGATACAGGAATGTTGAGTAAATACACGATCTTATGAGACTGGTTTCTTAGGAATTTAACAAAAGATTTCTGAGAAGAGATGGAATAAATTTATCTTTCATTTACTCTTTCTCGGTGCTGCGCATGGATAGTCATATTGATGTAGGATTAAAGTGAGTGAAGACAGGCGAGGGAATGGAGTAAATTACTTTAAAGACACATTGTTTCACCGAGAGCTCAGACAATCATGGGGGAATGAGATGTGTGTCTATGTGCTCCTATACTTCTATCAGTGTGAGGACCAGATTAAGTCGCATGATATGTTTGTGAAAAGCATTTTAACCATTTCAATGTGCTGCTTCCACATCTCATGACTTTGTCTTTGGAGTTTAAGGGATGAACTTGCTTGAAGTGAATATATCTGCACTTTCCTTGTTGTTCGGAGTTTGATTCTTTGCTTAAAATGGTTGCTCACACTAAAAACAACAAAAGAGTAAATTAGTAAAGTAATAATGCACAAATCATCCTTTTGCCTTCTTCTTTTGAATTATTGTTGGTTCAAATCTTTTATCAAGTACAAGTACAAATAATTGTACCAGCAAGTTTAATTATTATTTTAAATAGGCTACTTGCACATAAACATAATTTACTTCCAGTGGCAATTTATTATGAATTCAACTGTAGGAGCAGCACACACCATACATTTCCTTTCAGGCTAAATCTGTCTGTTCCCCTCATTATTTAAATTCCTGTCATCAAATTGTAAATCTGGATAAACACATAGTAAACAGCATCAATGAACATAGTGACAATTGAGTTGGCATTCCCTGAAGCAGCCTGAAGGCACATTCAGTATTTTAATCCTGTGCACAAATGTGTGTAGCTGTACAAACATATGAAATAAACGGAGGTTGATTTATGCTGAGGGGTTGTGAGGCAAAAGTAAATACCAGCAGTATGCTGAGAAGAAGAGAGGTATGATTTTTCATTTTTACTGTGGAGGGGCCCTTCAATTCATCAGAATATTCAGATGGCGTAAACTGCAAGTGAAAGCAATTCTGCATAAATACCTCCCGCTGCTGCTAACCGCCAAGAAGGAGCTAAAACCCTGTAGTCAAAGATCCATTTTAGATTTCTTGATATATGCATTCAGACTGCAGGTAAAAGTGCCAGAAATCACATGGAATCTGTTATTTTTAATGCATCCTAAGTTTGTGATGTCGTATCGCAGTTCATACAAAATGTCCATCTCTGACTCAGCTGGCTCCCATTTCTACATGAAACCGTGAATACTGACTTCA